CCCAATAATTACACTTGACACAGTAGCATTCGTGGTACTCTGTAGACCTCCAGGAATGTATTATGCAAGACCTGTCTAGAAACAGCAAGACTTCCTGTAAATTATTATAAAGAAAAAATGTTTGGGTCTTGCATCAGTTCACTAATTAGACAAAATGTGTCAGTATCCAGATTAGTGTTACAATGCAACACTGAGGGGGCTGTTGATGGAAGAGAGCATAAAGCATTCTCCGCAGGACACGACACAGTAAATCATTCTTAAAATGCAGGTGACAATGTGGAGCCTGCAATGTCTGTTGGAGTGTTCTTCGCATAACGCTGCAGAGAAAAGCCCATGACAGGAGAGCAAGCTGGTCACATGACTGTTACAGGTCATATTTGACTTGTTTCAACCCCTTTCCAACACTTTTTAATTTTTGTTCCCATGAAATACAAGGGGGTTTACATTCTCCGAACCCCAAAGCAAGCAAAGAGGAGAGCTAATTGGTAAAGCTTGTCGCTATACTTTATACATGTGCCTAGGTTTTCATTTTTTTGCTTACTGAAAAGTTCTTTCAGAATGCCATACCAGCCGAATGCCATTCCACTGTAGAGTAACCACTGGGTAAAATTGAGATTTCTGGGACTGTCAATTGTCTGGTTCCCCCGCAGTTCTTCTTAATAGATCCTCCTGCCAACCTCCACTTTACCACTATGTCCTACTATGGAAGAACCGGTGAGTCCTATGGGGGACCCAGAAGATCAACACTCTAGGATGTGTAGATTTCAGTAGAGACTTCACCCAGGAAATACTCTGTAGCAGAGCAATGTGCAGACATGTGGCCAGCAGGAGAAGTAAGCATTCCGCCAACCTCCACTTTACTACTGTATCCTTCTGTGGAGGAACCGGTGAGTGCTATGGGGGAACCAGGAGATTAAAATTCTTGGAAGTACCGATTTAAGAAGAGACTTCACCCAGGGAATACTCTACAGCAGTGCAATGTGTGGACGTGCAGCTAGGAGGACAGGTAAGCCTTCTGCCGACCTCCACTTTACTACTGTGTACTTCTGTGGAGGAACCGGTGAGTGCTATGGGGGAACCAGGAGAACAACACTCTAGGAAGTTTCAATTTCAGAAGCTCTACAGCAGATCGGCGTGTGGAGGTGTGGGCAGTATGAGAGATAAGTACTGCTATGCTTCTCTACAGGTCTGGTTCACGGGAAGGGGGTGAGTGTACATGTGTGACAGCTGAAGGGGTTAAAAGTCCAGCAGTTAAATGTTGTTTAGAGCAGGCCTTCTTAAACTTTCTCCACTCGTGACCCCTTTTTGGCCAAGGAAATTTTTAAGGGACCCCAACGTCGGTCGGTGTCTCCCCCCTCCCCTAGCGTAAGTCAATCTCTCGACCCCCACCCCCCTCCCCAGCATCGGTCAGCCAGTACTACTAAACCCCCGCCTTATCTTTACGTCCAGCAGCTGTGCTCCACTGCTGCTGGGTTAAAGAAAGTTCAGTCAATGTAAAAAAAACAAAAAACCTTCCTGCGCACACGTGCTCAGGAAGGTACCGAGTGCACAGGGGGGGCCGCGACCTTAAAAACTACACTACACTGCAAATTATACAGTAAACTGAAATAAAACAATCTAGCTTGGTGCCCAGACCCCCTCGGCCGCCTAGGCCCCTCACACAAGTACCAGCCATACCCCCCTGATGGCTGTCCTGGCCGGGTACTCGGATCGCGACCCCCCTGTTCACTTGCGGGACCCCATATGGGGTCACGACCCCCACTTTAAGAAGCACTGGTTTATAGGGTACCCTGATTTCAGTGTTCCTATGGAATGTTCATATGGAACCTTATACCTTAAATGGAGCTTTATACAAAAAAATCTTCAGGTATCACAATATATATTGTAACAAGGACACTCCACTGTAGTCCAGGTAAGTCAAATCAAATGCAGTTTATTTAGGGCAAACAGAAATATATCTTGCATCAGCAGCAACATAAGACAGTTCCCTTTATATGGCTCAGTAGATTCGCTTATGAGCCCTCACTCCGCTCTCTCAGCAGTGTGTCGTAGCGGTCCTAGGGTCACCGACCTTCCTGACCTCTCCCCTCGTGGGCACTCAAACACATCCCTCATGTGTCACTGGCTCTCTGTCTCCTCGGCTGTCTACGAGGTGCCTCCAGCACACACAGCCACCTAGCTCCCCTCTGACGTCTGGGTGGAGTCCTCCTGACTCCTAAACACCTCTGTTCCTCTTCCCAGCTGGAGCCCAGAACACCAGCCAGCACCCTTTCCATAAGGGCTATGCACAGGTGTGCAATCATTAGGTTCTGGTCCCTACTAAACCATGGACCCAGGAATGGAGATTTCATCCCTCCCAATTCTCTTTGAAATCTCCCAGTTCCAGGATCCCATACCAAATCCAGGTTTTCTGGAGAGAACTGCAAAGCCAGTTCTTTCCTAGCAAAACAGTTTGTTTCCTGGAACTGCTCAGTCTCTCTGGCTAAGAGTCCTGGGTGACTACAACCCCCAGTTCCACTGTGGGATTGCCACACAATACCACAATATACAAAAATAAAATTGAAATATGAAATATCTTTATTGAATTTACTTTAAAAAATGTTTTTATAATCGCCTAAATGTCCAAATTGTTTTAAAAACCACAATGTGCCCCCTTGTACTCATGTGAGCCCCTTGTTGACCTTGAGTATAAGTCAGACATGGACTTCCAACTGTACTCCCAACTGGACTTCCAACTGGTTTCCTATCCTCCAGGAAACAACTGGAGTTCTCTTTGTTTAGATCTCAAAAAAACTCACAAACTTTTTAAAAGAGTAAAGAGTAAGTCAACATGCACTTCCAACTAGACTCCCAGCTGGACTTCTAACTGGAAGCCCCAACTGGACTCCCAACTGGTGTCCTGTCCTGCAGAAAAGAACTGAGATAAGCCAAAGTTCTCTATGTTTAGATCTCAAAAAATCACAAACTTTTAAAAGAATAAAAACCACATTGTGTCCCCATGTACTCATGTGAGCCCCCTTTGACCATGAGTATAAGTCAACATCTAGCATCGTCAAGATGGACTTCCAACTGGACTTGTAACTGGACGCCCCAACAGAAATTCCAACTGGACTCCCAACTAGACTTTCAACTGGACTCCCAACTGCGCTCCCTACTCAACTCCCAACTGGACTTCCAACTTGACTCCCAACTGGACTTCCAACTCGACTCCAAACTGGACTTACAACTGGACGCCCAACTGGTGACCTATCCGCAAAACAACTGAGATAAACCAAAGTTCTCTTTGTTTAGACCTCAACAAAAATCACAAGTTTATAGTTTGCAGTCCAATCCCCAAAACACTGGAAAATCAGCTGTGTAGGGAGGTAAAAATGTGGAACGCTGAGCCTTGAATGTATTCCAGGACTGGATACATCAGACATATTTAATGTATCAAAGCATGGATCAGTCTCTGAACAATTACCATATGATGCACTTGTAAGACATTGTAGTAATAGTCACGCCTCAGCAGCTGAGTATGCATTATATAAATGTAAAGTTCTGTGCGTAATACAAATAAAGTTGTATGAGCTCTTTGAACCATTGGAGTTAATTTACTTTTGCACCATGTGACCTCGGTGGTGCTTTAAAAAGCATATTCTACCTTTTGCAATAAATGCACCCACATTGATGAAAGAAGAAATTGTGCGTTTAATATTTTTTTTGCAAAAGGAGGAATATGCGCTTACTCGTCATTAGCTGCAGGGTTGTCAGCCTGTTGTGCGCCCTCCTTCGGTAAATCGTTGAGCTGCCTGTTAGGTTTACCAAAGGCCTCATCGGCAGACATACTGAAAAACAGATTTTGGGTTAAGATAGACTTTAAAGTAGACCTGTCTAGCACCTGAGCACTTCTATAGAGATGACGGCCATGCAGCTGCAGTAGCCTCAGAACTAGAACACAGACCTGGAATAAGTATGCCGATCAGGAGCCTTGACTTCACTCCGGTATGCATGCTTGTTTCAGGGTAGTGACTGAAAAAGCCAAAGACAGTCAAAGTTAATTGGAGTTCAGCAATGGCAGCCCTCCAATGTCTCCGAGTACAGGTCTGCTTTAAAGCTGCGGAGCTGAATGCTGCCTGTTGTTGAAACACCTGTTTTTTTGGCATACAGTGCCAAATGCATACGGCAGACCTATTTCAGCGCCCCAACTGCATAAATCTGGCTACACCTGCTCGTCTGCACCTGACCCCTGTCTTGGCTGTCAATTTTTTTTTTTTTTAAAGAAGAGCCATAGGGTTCTACGCTTTCTGCAAAGTGACTCACCCAGAAGTTGTCCTTGAAGAAAACCCCTCTCATGGTAGATCCAAGTTTATTTGCAAGCGTTGCCTGGACCTGCTGCAAGCTCCTCCACTGAAAGGGAAGTGAGAAATCAGTACACGCTTGCAGAAAACTAAACTTTACTGCCTGCCAAGAATAATTAGTTCCTCTTATGTCCTTCCCTCTTTATGATGCCCTGCCCCTAGTCCTGCACGCTCAACCTGTACTGGGACTATGCTGACTACAGAAAATAGTGGTGCCAGCGGAATATGGCTACAGAGTGACCCCTGCAGGTCAGTGTAGTTATAACGCGGTGTGCAGTTGTCTTTCCAGGTGCCTACATGGCAGTATATTTAGTATGATGCCAAGAACAGGCACCAGGAAAGGAAAATTACGGGTATGATACAATTTTCCATTTTCTATGCCAATTGGTTCTGGGCAGATTTGGCTGCAATCTTTTTTAAACCATAAGCTGTGGAATAGCTATGGGGGGCCTCTATTACGGGCCTCCAGAACTTCACATTTTAAGCAAAAACATGAGCATGAGTTGCACCTAAATGGCTTTCATAACCATAAGTTACTGACAGGCATCTGACTAACCATGGGCACCAGAGGGCATCAAGCAGGTACCATTCAAGTAATACACACTACACTTGTGCGATTCGTTTCGTTCCAAATCGAAAATTCGGACACAATTTCGGAAATTCGGATGCATCCGAATTACAGATATAACAAATGCAAAAGAATCCAAATTTCCGATTCCAAAATTCGTTAGCGGTAGTCTGTATAGTCATTTGTTGGACGGAATTTCGTTGCAGCAAAATTACATTAGAGGAAAAAAAAAATGTTTTTGTCTGCAGAAGAAGAAGAAAAAAAAAGCGTGAGGTTCCCCCCAATTCATACCAAACCCTTTAGATCTGGTAGGAATGTTAGGAGGGACCCCCCAAGTTAAAACAAAAAAAAGTGCGTAGGGGTCCCTCCAAAATCCATACCAGGTCCTTTAGGTCTTGTAGGAATTTTAAGGGGGGAACCCCAGCTCCAAAAAATGGGGGGGGGGGAAACGCGGGGTCCCTAACCCATCCACTAAAGGGTTAAAAGTCAAAGTAAATAAACAAACCACACTTTGAGAAAATCCTTTAATTGGAGAAAAAAAAACCGAAGAGCCAACTCCCAATGCCATTCGGGTCTGTGAGGCGAGGTGTCATATGAAAAGTATTATGACACCTCGGCTCACACACCCGGATCAGTAGTCACTATCCCCATACTTTAAGTCCCCATACTTAAAAGGAACGTAACTCCCCTCATTTTATTTTTTTTTCCATCCCCTTTTACCCTTTGTTCTGCTGTGATCCGCCAAACCATAATGTACACAGGGTCCCGCTTCACCACCTACCTTTGCTGTGCCATTGAGAGTCGGAGGTCTTTTCCATGTTCTTGCAGTCAGCTCCCTGATGATGCGGCGCCACGGCCTTCCTCCTCCTGCCACTATGTAGAACAAGGGTCCTCAAACTTTTTAAACATGGGGCCAGTTCACTGTCCCTCAGACATTGTTGGGGGCCGGATCATAGTTTGAAAAACAGGGGGGGGCGTGGCTGTGGTGCAGTACCGCCACGCCCCCTCCCGTCCCAGAACAAAGGGGGAACGTTAGTGAGCAATTGCTGCGCGTTCCAGCAGCTGCTGTTCTGGTGTGAATGGCGTTACGCTGCTAAAGGAACCAAGGCATTTGGTTTGCCTCGGCATGCGCCCTGAGATGAAAGGGCGCAGCCCGAACACAGAAGCTGCTAAGCTTCCGGAACAGCCTGTATGTCTTCCCTGACACCCAGGCGGGGCCGGCGGAATGACAATCTCTCCCTGGACCCCGCGGGCCGGGGCAGCCGGCCAATTGATTGCTATACGCTGTTTAGGGCGGCTGGGCCTATTTTAACTGCTTGAAGACCGGGGTGTTACACCCCCTTCCCATCCAGGCCATTTTTTAGTGTTCAGCGCTGCAGTACTTTGATTGACATTTATTCCGTCATGCAACGCTGTACTGAAATTATTTTATTCCATTTTTTGGGGACAGATAGAGCTTTCTTTTGGTGGTATTTATTCACCACTGGGGGTTTTATTTATTTACTATATTTCATGAAAATTACAGAAAATTTTCAATTGTACATTATGTTAGGAAACATTTATTATCACCCAATTTTGTGGTAAAATATAAAAGACGGGGTCACGTCGGGTAAATAGACACCAAACATGTCAAGCTTAAAAATTGCGCGCACTCGCAAAATCGCAAAAAAACACCATACCCAAAATTGACCATAGGCGACGTTTTATGATCCCTCCTGGGGGGGGCGGACGAGGGAGCGCTGTCATATGGGATGGCCAGCGCCCAGCGGTAAGGGGGAGAGAAGCCGCCCCCCAGGACGAGCTGTGTCGGCCGCACTGCTCGCACACCCCTAAGGCCGGCCCTGGGGACACACACGGGCCGACCGCCCATACAAGCGATCCGTCGGCTCTATAGCCGGCGGATCGCTTGTATGTTAACAGGCATCGCTGCCTGTTTTCAAATTGACTGAATTTCCCCAAGTAGGCGTGGCTTATCTAGAGAACTCCCGGGCGGCCGTTTTTTTTACAACAGCCGGCCGGGAGGTAGTAAAGGTAGGGGCCTGCAGCTACCCGGCCTTGACACCTGAACGGGCCGGGCCAAGGACCCTGGCGGGCCGGATGTGGCCCGCGGGCCGTAGTTTGAGGATCCCTGATGTAGAACCTGATGCCTCCTGAGATATCTGACGTGGATATCCCAAGAGGCTCCATTCTCCCCGCTTTTATAGACTAAAGAGGAGGGAGGATTAGAATTCTGTAAAGTAATATTTTGGTGTGATGGTCAACTTGAAAATGGACATTCACTCCGAAACATCACTTTACATAATTGTTATCCCCAGCAATTAAAAAACTTCGGTGCATAAGTCACGCATCCCAGGAGTCTTTGGGGTCATCTTAAACACACTGTGCCGATGTTCATCATTGGGGGTGGCTGGAGGAGCCTGGAAGAGGCAAGTGTCTCCAAATTGCATAGGCTAAGAACATGGTGGTGTGGCAGCAGGCATGTGGCAGAGTGAAGATTAACAGCAGTGCTGGATTTTCTGCATATGTGAGTATGAAGGTGCCCATACACTGCACGATTATAGTACAATAATCGCGGGAAATCCCACGACGTACGATAATCGGCAGGTGTATGGAAGGCGTGCGACCGTTTCTACTGTACGATCGCACGTCTTCCGTCGAACAAGCAGGCTGGAAAACCCGCCGGGAATTGTATGATTGTCGGCGAGTTAGTGGCGTGCTTGTTTGACAACTGCCGAAAGGGCCGGTGTGCGCACGTGCACACTGCCTGTTTGCAGTCATCGAAAGCCCGCCCCCCATTGCAGCCTGTGATGATCGCAAGTACGATCTGCCTGTCCAAGATGGGCAGATCGTACGTTTTTTTTAAGTACTTTACAACCCTCGCAAGACAAAAGTCTTGCGGGGGTTGTAAAGTGTATGGGCACCTTAAAGCTACACTCACCGGCCACTTTATTAGGTACACCTGTTCAATTGCTTGGTAACACAAATTGCTAATCAGCTAATCACATGGCAGCAACTCCATGCATTAGGCATCTAGACGTGGTAAAGACGACTTGCTGAAGTTCAAACCGAACATCAGAATGGGGAAGAAAGGGGGTTTAAGTGACTTTGAACGTGACATGGTTGTTGGTGCCAGACGGGCTGGTCTGACTATTTTTAAAAAACTGCTGATCTTCTGGGATTTTCACACACAACCATCTCTCAGGATTACAGAGAATGGTCCAAAAAAGGGAAAATATCCAGTGAGCGGCAGTTGTGTGGGTGAAAATGCCTTGTTGATGTCAGAGGAGAATGCGCAGACTGGTTCGAGATGATAGAAAGGCAACAGTAACTCAAATAACCCGTTGTTACATCCGAGGTATGCAGAATGCCATCTCTGAACGCACAACACATTGAACCTTGAAGCAGATGGGCTACAGCAACAGAAGACCACACCGGGTGCCAAGAACAGGAAACGGAGGCTACAATTCGCACAGGCTTGGACTTATAGTAGATTGGACAAAAAAATTGGACAATAGTAGATTGGAAAAACGTTGCCTGGTCTGATGAGTCTCCATTTCAGCTGCGACATTAGATAATGGGGTCAGACAACATAAACAACATGAAAGCATGGATCCATCCTGCCTTGTATCAGTGGTTCAGGCTGGTGGTGGTGTAATGGTGTGGGGGATATTTTCTTGGCACACTATGGGCCCATAATGCTATCATGTCAATATGGACCAAAATCACTGAGGAATGCTTCCAACACCTTGTTGAATCTCTGCCACGAAGAATGAAGGCAGTTCTGAAGGCAAAAGGGGGTCCAACCCGGTACTAGCAAGGTGTATATAATACAGTGGCCGGTGAGTGTAGGTAAGAGAAAGAGGAAAAAAAAACACAAAGATTTACCTGGGGGGTGAAGTTCCTGCTTTAGCAGGACCCCAATTCCCACCTCTTAATTAGGAATAGCCAGAACCCCCTTCTTTAAGCTGAATTATTCTTCAGTCAAGGCTAGGAAGCCACTCCTATACACGTGGCCTGCTTCCACCAACCAGGCCTCTATGTGTAGCCTTATTAAACCCTATGGATGTTTTCCTCCTCAGATTACTAAAAGAACATGCACCTGTGTGGTAATCAAGGCGGAATCTCCATAAGCTGGGCGTATGGGACCATAGTAAGTTTCTCTGGCAGTGATAACCTTGTTCCCTAGGCATAGCCGTTACATTTGCAAAAATGTCAGTCCAGTCCTTGAATGCAGTTTTAAAGGTTTATGTCAAACACAAAGGGGGTAGGGAGGGCTGAAATGACCAACAGTAGTATGTCTTCACAAAACTAGTGGCCCCTAAATGGAGACTTCACCTGCACAAAGCAGACACATTACAACAGAGGTAGTGTATCAGGTAGTGAGGGCGGCAGTAGGCCATTGGAGGTTCAGGTGTTACTCCATTGTCCCCAGCAATATCTCTTTAGCTACTTGATCAATTCGGATAAGGCTGCAAACCTGTGGTGTTCCATTGTCTCTAGCAACATCTTGTTAGCTACTGGACCAACTTGAGTAAGGTTGTTGACCAGTGGAGGTTCACATTGTGGTCCAGTGTCTTCACCCAGATGAGTGTGGGTGAGGTCTATTCTTAAAGAAGACCTTCACTCCCCAGGTCCACTTTTGCTCCCTGCAATTGACAACCCCGCCCTCCGCAATATAAAAATGCTGATTTTGTGGGGTTTTGTAACTTTTTTTTTAATACCCTATTTCCCGGCGTATAAGGCGACTGGGCGTATAAGACGACCCCCTAATTTTTCTGTTAAAACGTAGGTTTTGGGCTATACTCGTCGTATAAGACGAGTATAGCCCAAAATAATGTTTAAATACACCCACTAACCTCCTTGGCGGTATTCCCGAGTCTGGCTCGGGGGTTAATTTACAGTACCATAAGCAGTAACCCGGAGCCAACTACGGGATTCCGAAGCTACCGTACATACAGTATCACCGCACATCCAGCGGGTTGACAGATTGTATACCCGGCATATATGACGACCCCCGATTTTCGGGGGATGTTTTTAAGTATAAAAAGTCGTCGTATACGCCGGCAAATACGATAGTTATTGGCCAGGAATACCTAGGCGAGAATGACGTGTCCCTGGCTGCGTGTCATTAGGGGCCGGCTGCAAAACCCAGAAGAGACAGCTGGCGGCGTGAAACGTGGGCTGTGGCAGCTCATCTGAGGACCACAGCAGAATTGGCTGGTCGAGAGTATGCATTCTAGTGAAAGCCCAAAATAACAGGTGGAGGGGAAAAAAATGACGAGGGGGGTGAAGTTTCTCTTTAAAGGAGAACTATGGGGTCACTGTTTTTCCCCATAGCTCTCCTTAGGGTAACGGGAGCACACAAACTAGCGTCCTCCCGTTACCCTAAGCTCAGTATACCGCGAGCTACAGCTCGCGGTATACTGAGACGCCGCAGCGGATCCCGACGTAGATGACGGGATCCGCCCAGCTGCGTGAGTGACAGGTGGCTCTGCCTATCTAGAGGCAGAGCCAGCTGTACCCGCCCCCTCCCCCGTCCGTTCCGCCAGTCAGCGCTGGCAGATTGGAGCGGGGAGAGGGGAATCCAGCCCCTCCCCCTGTCACGGCAGAGAGCCGTGACAGGATCGAGAGGTGAGCGAACCTGGTATGTGTTCTCTCACCTCCCGATCTACTGAGCCGACCTGTGACAGTCTCATTGTCACAGGTCGGCTAGAACTATGAGGTGAGTGAAAAGCACTCACCTCATAGTTCTCCTTTAAGCATCCAGTAATACATGGTAGTCCCAGAGGGCCAAGACCCTTGGTCCTATCTTCAAGCCGAGTGGTCCTGTCTTGTGGTTCAGCACCTCAGACCCCGGCAACAGCCTTTAGCAAAGATCCTTCAAAAAGCATGGCCAGGAGGTTTTATTAAAGTTCCCCACCGAAAACTGATAAGAACAGATACTACACTTGATCTTAGCCAAAAGGCCGAGAAGTGACTAGTTAACAAACATGCAAGGCAAGTCCATGTTACAGCTCCAGCCTCTGGATCTCTCAACAGAGGCTGGCAGAGAACATCTTATGAAGACCATGGGCACACCCTAATGGAGAGAGCAATGCACTACAGCAAAACACAAATAAAACAGATTTGTCACCTAAAAGTAAAGCTGTAATGAAGTCAAACATTCTAAAATGAATTTGGTAGAGACCAGCGAGTGTCACGTGATGCAAGGACAACCCTCTATTTACATAAGGTGATCCCCAGATTGCTGCCAAAACACCTATGCAAATTTAGATTTTTCTAAAAGAATCAGGAAACAGTCATGTTTATTGTTTCATTTATTGGCAGGTGTAGCCGAGCAGAAGATCTCTGAAATATTGTGCACAAGCCAGAATTTCTGGAGCCAGAGCATCCAAAGACTCCAGAGCCAGCCTGGTGGTCACTTGCTGGAGACACTGCAGAGCAAGAACTGGGGGCTTCCTTAAACTCCAGCGCAAGCCTGAAACTCCAGAGCTAAAACCTGACAGACATCTCCGTTTGGGCAGTCTCACCACTTTGTTCAGAGAAAGGTTGTTCTGTTGTAAAGTCCTAGAGTGGAATTAAAGGAGAACTATGAGGTGAGTGATTTTCACTTATCCTCATAGTTCAAGCCGACGTGTGACAATGAAACTGACACGTCGGCTCAATAGATCGGGAAGTGAGCGAACACATACAGACGCTCACTTCTCGATCATCTCCCTGCAGAGAGCTGTGACGGTCACTCACAGCCTCTGCTGTCCTCCCGCTGACTGACACTGCTGCGCTAGGAGGCTGAGGAGCCTCTCACCTAGCGCAGCAGACGTGGATGCTGCGACCCCCTCGACAGTGTGTTGCGACCCACAGGTTGAGAACCGCTGCTCTACGACATTTAGGAATTAATTTTGCTGCAGTGTGTACATCACCCCCAGACAACAGCTTGATTTGACTTTGCTAGCTACCATCAGCTGAGCAGGCAAATCACTCATCCTGGTCACTATTCTTGCCCCTTGATAAGTTGGTGTTGGCAGTCTCCTCTTATCTAACTAGAGGCAAGTAGGCTGCACTTGGCGTGGGAATGAAAAAAAAATTCCAAGATGAAGCTGTGCTTTAAAAACGCTCATGCTCTCACACTGGCACCTGACCCAAAAGCCGCTCTACTTAACCTGCCCCCTGAGGGAGTTACGCTCTAGGGCCTCACAGCGGCCAAGCAGATAGTGGCGAAGTCCACGTAGCTGGAACGCAGGCTCCAGTGGTTCTTTTCTAATGAGCGCCTCACGGCACGGCTGACCGACAAGGTCCCTCGCTTTGAGGTGATCTGGAACCCCTGGATTCAGCGCTTACAGACACACTCATTCCATACCAGACTGCTAGCACTCTGAATCTAAAGGCAAGGACACCCAAGCTCATACCGTCACAAAGGGTTTGAAATTCTCCCATATGGTGAGGGCAGTGTATGGGAAGTAAACGACCCCCAACAATTGCTACCACTCACCTCTGTTTAAACCAGAATACAAGATGTTTACTGACTGTACCAGATCAATAGGTCCAAAATGTTTACTGGCTGCGGATACTCACAATCTCTGTATGGTGCCCCCAGGCACTAATACTAGCACAGTAGAAGTGGTTTACCAACATTGCAGTTATGGTCTGTGAATGTATACTTCTCTTCTACTTGTATATTACAGTATCTTGTAAAACAAAAATAATGATTGGAAAAACGCTCATGAGTGCTGCAGTCACCAAGCAAGCTGCTGGCATTTTAAATGTTTCAACTAGTTCTCAAAGCTTTCTAGTAACCACCAGAACTTCCACATGCAAGTGTACCAAAGCCCCAAATTCTCAATATATTGCAGCTCACCGTCCATAGAGGTAGCGAGAGCACATTTCAGACTGTTTTTACAACCAGTGATTCTACCAGTAAAGCTCATGTACTAGGGAGACACCACACTACATGCACTGTATTGCATTGGCACCCTAAGCAAGGAAGTGTGGCATGGTTGTAGAACACCGTCCCCTCTTCTGCATTAGATGGGGGGGGTTTGTCTTTCGATGAGAAAAGAGAAAACTGCACTCAGAAAAGACACGACCAAAAGGCACAGAACATATTAAGCCTGAACCTTTAAAGGAGAACTATGGGGTCAGGGCTTTTCCCCATAGTTCTCCTTAGGGTAACGGGAGGACACAAACTAGCATCCTCCCGTCACCCTAAGCTCAGTATATAGGGAGCTGTAATTTGGCGTTATACTGAGACGCCGCACCTGAAGCGGATCCCGACAATTATGCCTGGATCCGCCCAGCTGTGTGACTGACAGCTGGCTCTGCCCCCTCCCCCATCCGTTCAGCCAGTCAGCGCTGGAGGATCGGAGCGGGGAATCCAGCCCCTCCCCCTGTCACGGCAGAGAGCCGTAACAGGATCGAGAGGTGAGCGAGCGCCGGTATGTGTTCGCTCACTTTCCGATCTACTGAGCTGACCTGTGACAGTCTCATTGTCACAGGTCGGCTAGGACTATGAGGAGTGAAAAGCGCTCACCTCATAGTTCTCCTTTAATATCAAAGTGTTCTAGCCTCTGTCCTAGCCAGATTTACATCACTTCGGTTTTACAGGACGTTTGAGGAAATCATATAGGACAAAGTTCAGGAGGAAGTTTGGACTCCACGTCTGGATATGGAAGTAAGCAGTCACGTTCTCTACTGCAGGAAGCTATTTTTTGGCAAGGGGCTCATTGAAAAGCTGTCCGAGCAGAACCATTTGTAGCCAAACTACAATATATTAAACTACTCACTTGTTTGCTGCCCTGGGCACCTCTAAACAAGCACATTCTGTTGTACGCAAGCGATACTCAAAATATCACCCTAACCGTCCACTCATCCAAAGACCTTCTGCTTTCCAGCTCCCTTGTCAACTCCTCCCATACTCACCTCCAGGACTTCTCTAGAGTCGCTCCCATCCTCTGGAAACTCTTTACCCCAACATGTCCGTCTATCTCCCACCTTGACTGCCTTTAGGCGATCCCTAAAGACTCATCTCTTCAGGGAAGCCTATCCCACCTCAACCTAACCACTGAACCTTGACATTTTCAGACAATTCATCCCCACACAGCTACCTCCTCATGCATCACTGGCCCCTCCCTTTTAGATTGTAAGCCCTCAGGGGCAGGGCCCGCCTTACCATCTTGTCTTGAACTGTCAACTCAGATGCTAAAAATCAGGTCTATATGGTCAGTGCCATTACATTAAAAGGCGGTTTTAGTCAATCTCCGCTAGTTCACATGGAATTGCGCTATACACAAGCTGCAGGGAGAGGTTCTCTTGAACAGAGAATTGAGTCATCTGCACAATAGAGGGGTTTTTACTTTCATGAACGCCATTATTAAAGCCCCCTCTGCAGGCACCTTATAATGGGTTTAGAGCAACACAACAGTGCTGCTCATCAGAAGCCAATCACAGCCATGCAGGCGCTTCTACAACCTCCAGATAAAATGGATCAGCTCTCGACATGCTTCCCGGTCACTCCAGATGTACACATCGCAGGTTTCAGGCTCCAGCACTGTGGCTGTCTGCATCTCTTAGCTCAGGGGTAGCCAAACTCCGGCCCTCCAGCTGTGAAGGAACTACAAATCCCATGAGGCATTGCAAGATTCTCAAAGCCACAGACATGACTCCCAGAGAGAGATGCATCATGGGATCTGTAGTTCTCACCATAGCTGGAGGGCTGGAGTTTGGCTACCCCTGTCTTAGCTAGTGACAAAGTGGTCTGGGGCTGTGTGTTTTGTGAGGGGTCTAGAGAAGAAGTGTTTGAGACTTGAAGCGCCTACATCTTACCAGAAACAAGTGAATGGTTCTATGCTAATCCCAGCAGGTACACCGATTCGGGAGGTGGACATTTTTAGGATGCTTTGCTGCTGTAAGCCTTACAGTAATTCTATCCATAGTTGAGTTTTAAAGGTCTCCGGTTCATACCACACAGTTGATCTCGAGTTTGGTGGCAACAGGAATATCACGCCCGTTTCTACAGAGACTCTCGCTTGCTGGCAGAGAACGTGACAATCTCAGTGGTTCTGGCCAGTAAGTGAGCAGCGCCATAGGTACAGGAGGAGTTTCTCTTATTTCTGGGAGCAAGCTGACCGCTTGTGTGACACGAGCCCTAAAATGATGATTGGAATATAATCTGCAGTGAACAAACATTACCAGGGGTGGCAGGGATTGCCAAATCAAGCACAGGAAATGCCAATAAGTAACAGAGGCCACAGTAAAGTTTTCAGGAACATTTTATTCTCCAATTGAGAAATGTCTGTACATTTAAAGCACAAGTGCTTCAATAAGTTTAGTGAAAATGGATCCAGGAACATAAGGACAGCGACATCCACAGGGCAACAGGAAGACGGGTGTGATTTTTACTCAAATGTAGACAGGAAAGTCAATACAATTTGTTTCAGCTTGGCTTCTGCCGGCTCGGAGATCTTTCCGTCGACCCTGAGAAACAAAAAGACAGGTCAGCATTTACAAAGCGGCAGAAGCCCAAATCGAACAGATGCTTCTGGAAGACCTAAAAAGCTGCACGAGTTCTGGAGCCAGTCTCAAAAGATGCGTTATGAACTAAATGCAATAAAACAGAACGAGACCCAACAGTTTAGCATCTCCAGTAACTTACAAAGGGACTGCTTGTGGTAATGACTGTCAGGGTTGCCATTGTGCTCATTTTGGACTTCAGCTGAACTTTCAAGCCCTCAAATGACTGGCATCATAGCTGATCACATGTGCAGCACCATGGCAACTGGAATCTAAACAGGCTAAAATGGCACCATCTTTGGCTGGATAGGAGGGTGTAGTGTTGCTTTAAGGTGGTCCTCATACAAGGCTATAAGTGGCTTCTAATGGTAAACAGCAGTTGCTTCAATTCAGATCTTTAGTCTCTTACCTAGGGCTGCAACAACTAATCAACTAAAACGATTGAAAAAGTTTACGTTTTCAATCGATTAATCGGCTTCCGATTAGTTGGCCGTTCACGTCTCCACACCCTGCGCGCCGCACCTCATCGCTGCCAGATAGACAGTCACTGGTTTTTCCGTTTTGTAGGCGATTTATATAATGTTTAATCATTTGTATTCCTCTATAGCTGATGGTACATTGAGCTTTATATTATACAGCACAATGTACCATCAGCTATAGAGGACTACAAATCCCAGCAATACATTATACAGCGCAATGCAGAATACCACCAGTTATAATGTACTATTGCTGGGATTTGTAGTCCTCTATAGCTGGATCAATGCCATTTTGCATTGATTGCTGTATCATTTTACACTTTCCATTTCACTAGATTGCAAACCACACTTTTTTTCCTTCCACCGTTTCAAGCTTGCTCCTGTGATGGACTACAACCTCAATACAAACTAGTAGTCCATCGCTGGAGCCATTTTATC